AACCAAGATTCTACCATAAGGTACCAGAATATAGCTACATAGTAGTGTTTGCCTAGCAAAGCTGGGAAGATATGGGGGTGGGAATTCTTTGTTTTTTGTTTTGTGTTTGTTTGTTTTTCAAGACAGGCTTTCTCTGTCTAGCTCTGGCTGTCCTGGAACTCACTTTGTAGAGCAAGGTGGCCTCGAACTCACAGAGATCCACCTGCCTCCGCCTCAGGGTGCACCATCACTGCCCAGTGGGAGTGAGAATTCTTTTTTTTTTTTTTAAGATTTTATTTATTTATTATGTATACAACATTCTGCTTCCATGTATATCTGCACACCAGAAGAGGGCACCAGATCTCATAAGGGATGGTTGTGAGCCACCATGTGGTTGCTGGGAATTGAACTCAGAACCTGTGGAAGAGCAGTCGGTGCTCTTAACCTCTGAGCCATCTCTCCAGCCCGGGAGTGAGAATTCTTATACACAGCTAATAGGATATAACGTAGGCAACCAGCATAGAAAGCAATGTGGGAATTCCTCCAAACAGACAAAGTAGAGCCCAGTTGTCCTACTTCTGTATAAGGAAAGGAAACTGGTATGTGGAAGCCTTTTTTGTACCTAGGTTTATTACATCACTACACACAAAACCCTAGAATCCGGGACTGGAGAGATGACTGCTCTTCCAGAGGACCTGGTTCAGTTCCCAGCATCGACACAGTAGCTCACAACCACGTCTAACTCTTTGGCTTCTGAGGCACACACCTAATACATAGACATACATGCAGGCAAAACGCCCATACTGTAAATAAAAATAAGTTTATAAAGATCTTAAAATATAAGAGTAATATGTCTTTTAAAGGAAGAAAGAAGATAGAGAAGCCATCTTGAGTGTTCAGCAGAGGATGAAGAGATAATGAAAATGTGGTAATTGTACACAATGGAGTACTAGTCAACCCTGAAAAGGATGAAAGCCTGTTGCTTGCTACAACATGGGGGAACCTGGAGGACACTGTTTTAACTGGAAGGAGCCAAGCACAGACAGACAAATACTGCATGATATTGCCCAGATTTGTAAATGGAAAAAAAAAATGCTGATTTATAAGTTGAGAGCAGAGAATGGCATCTAGGGAAGGAAACGGGAGGAAAGGGAGGTGGGTCAAGGCTGTGCATCCAAAGTCACAGTCAAGTCGGAAGACCTGGTGTTCTCTCACACAGTAGTTATTATGTCTAACAATAAGGAATTGTTTCTTTCAAGAAAGCTATGGGAAAGAATGTTATCTCAGAGTAATGACTGATGCTTGAGAAGACAGATGTGCCGATTACTCAGGGAGGGTCATTACACAAGGCATGGAAAACATGTATGGAAACACAGTGTGTAATTTGTATGTGTAATTATAAATATGCACAATTACTATGTGTTAATTAGAAATAACAGAAAACTTCTAAAAGGCCTCACCATGAACAGTTCGTGAGTGAATGAGTCATCTACACCTCTTACTGTGCACATCTGTCAACTGACCAGCAGGGCTGGCAGCTTAGAGGTATGCTTATGCAGCCAGACCACCTGCCAATCAAAGGACTGGCCATCTTGGAGAGATAGCTGAGCAGGCACAGGTTCAACCAAGTTTGTCAAATGATGGAAGGAGAGATCTGATGGCCACAAAGGACTAGCTCCCTCTGAATCTCAGGTAGATGCTGGGTGTGACAGTCAGAGGGACCCTGTACTTGCAGCAGACCTTTGAGGAGGGGATCCAAGGCTGAGGAAATGCTGAGCCCAGATTGTCTCAGCTGTAAAACTAAAAACAAAAAACAAAACCACCAGGTCTTTGAACAGAACCAGACACAGATGACTTAGAAATCTGACCTCACTCTGGCTTTCACTTTGTGAAAGTCATATATGGGGCCAGCAAGATGGCTCAGTGGGTGAGGTGTTTGCTGCCAATACTGAACACCCAAGTTCAATCCCTGGGATGCACACGGTAGGAGAGAACCGACGCCTGTAAATTGTCCTTTATGTGTTCATGTCATGTGTGCCCCCCTCACAATGCAGTTTTTTAAAGTCATTTAAAGATTCTTTAACCACTAGTCAAGTTCTTTGTTGGTTGTTGTTTTTTTGCTTTTTTTTTTTTTTTTTTTTTTTGTGGGGTTTTGCTACGTAACCATGGCTGGAATCCCTATATAATCCAGAGTGGCCTGAAACTGACATTCTTCTTACCCAAGACTTCCAGGTGCTGAGGTGAGAGGTCTCTAGCATGTCATGCCCAGATTTTAAATTAATTGTATTATTAGTGTGTGTATAAGGTACGTGGTGTATATGTGTGTAGGACAAAAAACAACTTTGCAGAGTTGATTCTCTCCTTCCACCTTTAGATGGATTCTGTGGATTGAACTCAGATCTTGAGGAGAGAGAGAGAGAGAGAGAAAGAGAGAGAGAGAGAGAGAGAGAGAGAGAGAGAGAGAGAGAGAGAGCACCCATCCCACAGCACTCATGTGGAAGTCAGAGTACAGTCTGGGGAGTCCATTCTCTCCTTCCACCATGTGATCCAGGCACAGAACTTGGGTCATTGGGTTTGGTAGCAATTGTATTTAACCACTGAGCCAACTTGCTGGGCTCCTGACATACCTAGAATCAAAAAAAAAAAAAAAAAAAAAAAAAATTCCAGATGATTCTAAGTCCACAAGACCGGATGTCTCAGCTGGTCTTCAGTAGATGCTGGAATCCTGAAGAAGTAAGCTGTAATGCCAGTGAAGGAATGGACTTGTTAGCCAGGCAAGGGCAAGCAGGCAAAGAACAAAAGCTTCCTTCTTCCACGTTTTTATACAGGTTTCCAGAAGAAGTCATGGCCCAGATTAGATCTAGATTAAAGATCTGGATTAAAGTTGTGTCTTTTTACTTTAAAGATCCAGACTAGAAGTAGATCTTCTCACTTCAAGTTAAGCAGAAATTCCTCATGGGTGTTCCCTCTATTTGGGGGTTTTAGTTAATTCCAGATGTAGTTAAGCTGACAACCAAGAATAGTCATCACAACTACCAAGCCCAGGAGCTAAAGGCATCTTTAACATTTTTTTCACATTTATTTGCATGTGTGTATGTGAGTGCATGTGTGTGAGTATGTATGCCATGACACACCTGGCATTCTGTCATTTTACCATGTGAGTCCCAGGGATCTAACTTCAATTGTCAGGATTAGTGGCAAGCCTTAGTCACTGAGCCATCTTGCTAGCATATGCCACAACATTCTCTCTCAGCCCTCAAGAGGCCCAACCCTACCAGCACCCTGATCCAGAACTTCAGAACTTCCGGTGGGAAGTGGGCTGGGCCCTCACAGACCTCCCAAGGCAGGATCATGGAATGGCGGCTGACGCATTTGCAGAGTAGGGCTTCTGCAAGCTTTCTGCAGAGAAATCAGTCCCCTGCTGCTGAAGACAGGCTTGTAGCCGACATGCCAGCCTCCAGCAGGGTCTCTGGAGAACATTCCTGATTAATAAGACCAAGACCACTGGAAAAAAAAAAAAGGAGGGAAAAAGCTTAGCATGCAGTCGTGGGAAAATGAGAAGTTTGGCCTTTGTTAAAAAATCATGTTACTTTCTGGGAAGCCAAATATCCCTCAAAGGGAGTTGATTAAACATACAATGGCTCTTCTTTCTGACTTGGCCAAGGTCCTGGCTCAAGCTGCATATCCTCCCTGATCCAGGCATTTCTGGAAGGACCCATAGCTCTGTTTATCGATCTTGTGGCTGTTTGGGAGGACTGCCGAGCTAGAAGCACCAAGCTCAGAATTCCAGGTATGAAGGCCCACTGGGTCATGGGCAACCAAAGTTCCTGTAAAGTAGCTCTCGGTTTTCCTGTCCTCAAAAAGGGCACTGACTGAAGAAATTGCTTCCACTCACGGTTGCCACGTCTGTTTGGGAGGAAGGAACTTCTAGGCTTTCTCTGAAGTCCCTCTGGCTGGAGTTGGGGAGATGGAAGGAGGGCTAAGGAGGTCCTGAGGGGCGTGTCTGTGGGAGGCAGGCGTCGTGGGGGGTGAAGGCAGGCTCAGGGCCTGGATGGGTAGGAGCCTGCAGGCAAGGCAGACAGGCATAGATTCTTGGTGGTTTGGGTGGAATTTGACATCCTGCCATTCTTCCTTATCTACTCATCAGAAGAAAATCAGACAAGAGTGTGAGCTCACCCTAATATGAGAGCCATTTTCACCTCCTGGTTCCTATCAATTAAAGCCTCTGTCATCTGTTGATCGTTTCTTGGGAGACTGGAAAGCATTTCTGGGCCAGATGGCTTGGAACTAATTAGGCCATCAGAGGTTGTGAATGGGTTGTCTCCCTCTAAGACCAGGGAATCTCTTCACAGGTTTCCACACAACTGAACTGGGATTTGAAGCTCAATTCTGCCATTCATCAGCTATGCCATGACTTGATGGTACTTACTTGATTGAAGCTATGATTTTCCCTTCTGTAAAATGGAAGTATTAATAGTACAGCTTCATACACTGCCACACTAGGTGGGTAGCTCTCCTGTCAGGTTTATACCAACATACTGGACATTGTGTGTGTGTGTGTGTGTGTGTGTGTGTGTGTGTATGCCTGCACACATATGTGAGCTGGATTTAATAGGCAGTTATCAGCTGCCCAATATGGGTACTGGGAATTGAATTTTGGTCCTTTGAAAGATCAGCAAGTGCTCTTAGTCACTGAGCCCCACTTTGTTTTTCAGACAGGATCTCTCATAGTTTGGAGCTCACCAAGTAGTCTAGGCTGGCTAGTCAGTGAGCCCCAGGGACCCTCCTGTCTCTGCCTCTCCATCACTGGGACTGTCAGGGAACACACCACAATGCCTGGCTTTTTAAATGAGTTCCAGGGATCAGGCTTAGGTCCTCTGCTTGCTCTGTGAGCATTATACTGAGCTATTGGACTACCTCCCCAGGCTGTTACTTGATATCTTTTTCTCTAGCATGCTCCTTGTTGGGTATTGGCCTTTTCAATAGTGTGCTCCCCCATGAGCCAAGCTGCATCTGGTTACCTGCTGTAGGTGAATGTTGGAATATATATATCCTAAGGTTCATGGGCTGAAATCTTTGCTCCAGGTGGTGCTTTGGAGATGCTTTGGAACCTTTAAGAAATGGGGATAAAGAAGAGATCATTACAACACTGGAGGCTTGTCCTTGAAGGGGGCCCAGCTCCATTCCCTCCCTCTCCTTTGCTTCCTGGTGAAGAGGTAAGTGGGTCTTGCTCTACCGTGCACTCCAGGCCGATTGTCTGCCTCACCACAGGCTCAAAGTCATGGGGCCAAGTGACCATAGCCTGAAATCATAAACTTCTATCTTCCTCTTCCCTTCCTTCCTCCCTTGCTCGTCTCCTCTCTTCTTTTCTGTCTATCTATCTATCTATCTATCATCTATCATCTATCTATGTATCTGTCTCTCCCTCTTTTCCTTTATTTCTCTTACTCCCACCTTCATCCTTACCCTCTTCCCCCCTTTCCTGGGAAAGGTCTCTTCAGGCTAGCCTGGAACTCTTATCCTCCTGCCTCAGGCTCCCCAGAACTGGGATTACAGACACATGCCATCACACTGGCTGAACTGTTTCTAAACTGATTTTCTCAGGCGTAACTGGTAAGGTTTACAGTCAACTGGATCTAGAATCATCTTGGAGAAAATCTCTAAACATGTCTGTGAGGGAGTTTCTGGACTGGGTTAACTGAGGTCGGGTGGGAGGGAATCTACCTTGAGCATGGGTGATATCATTCTATGGGGTGGGATCCAGGACCAAATAAAAAAGAGAGAGACGGAGCTGAGCCCCTGAAATTGTCTCTCTCTGTTTCTTAATTTCAGATGTGGTGTGACCAGCTGCCTCCCGCTCCTGTCACCAGGGTGGACTGAGACCTCAAACTGTAAGCCAAATAAACCCTTCCTTCCTTACTGAAGCTGATCTTGTCAGGTATTTTTGAAGGTACCAGCTCCCCATTTCAGCAGCCATAACAGCCGAACACATGCTTGTCTGACCTTCTCTTAGTCACTAAGGTCAGATGCCTGCCCCTTTTGGCAGCCATAACAGCCCATACCATCTTGTCTGACCTTGTCCTAGTCACTAGAAAGTCAGATGCCTGCCTCGTGGCAAGGAACCAATCAGAAGTTAGCTGGTGGCGCTATGCTTTACGGCTCGGGGTGGGCTTTATGGGCAAGTGCACAGCAATGACGTGCAGAGCAGAGCAACCTCCCTGGGAGGGCCTATAGGCCATAACAACCAGTTGGCCAATCAACACAGGGCAACCCCTCCAAGCCTGGAGGCACACCAATCCTGAGCCTGTGCATACCCCTAGACACTCCCCTTACACTGCCCTATAAGATCTCTATGCAGCCTGTTCGGGTTGTCTTTGCTAGCCATGCGCCATGGTGGGTGGATGAAAGACCTGAGCTAACAAGGGGTTAGCTCGTTAAACAACAATAAAGCCTCATGCAGTTTGCATCAAGCTTTCAACTCCGAATGGTGATTGGGGTGGCCGTGGTACTGGGCTAAGATCCTGGAGGCTTAAGCTTTCAGGGGGGGGGGGGTTGTCCTTACATTTTGTCACAGTAACAAGAAAGGACAGAAATTGAATAAACAAAATAAGCAGAAAACTGTAAGACAAACTGTTACCTCCCCCAGGAAGCCCTCCTGGACAAGATCCCTCCTTCTAGTGGATAGACAGACACCCTCCAACAGAAGGCCAAGGATGAGCTGAACTTCTGACCCTCCTGCCTCCACCTCTCAGGCCTTGTTCTCCCTCTCCAAGCTTCGGGTTGTGACCCTATCCCTTCTTCACCTCTTCTCCACTAGGGTTTCTCTTCTGTGCTTTCTCTACAGCCTCCGTCCAGCTGAGACAGGTACCTGTCATTCACTCCCGGAAGTCCCTGCCTCTCAAATGTTCCTCACACCTTCCTTCACATTCCAGAACTATCCACATTTACCATCTTCAGAGAAGCCTCGTGCCATTGTGCATACCGTTCCAAAACTTCCTTCTTTCTCAAATGCTCTTCTTGGTGGCTATTCCACCATAAGGCTATATATGCTGTGCTGCATTTGATAAATCCAGGGATGGATATTTAGGATGCTTCCACGTTTAACCAGGCAGGGACTTGCAAAGGACATTCTTTACTTTTGTAGTTCTTTGAAAATAGGGTCTCAGTCTATAACTCAGGCTGGACTGTGACTCACTATGTAGTTCAGGCCAGACTCTAACAACTTTCCTGCCTCAGCCTCCTGAGGGCTGGGATTTCATGAATACAGTGCTGTGGCTGCAACCAACATTCTTGTGTGCACTGATGTGGAAACTCGTTCAGGACAGAGCCTGGAGGTGGGTCAAATACCACAGGCATGGTTTGGATTTAGAAAAGCCACACTGAGGGTGTGGCTTTGCTAGTGATAGTCAACTAGCATGCAAAAGCCCTGGGGCTGACCCCCCCCCCCCCCAACAGCACTAACTGAGCATGGCGGTGCCCTTCTGCAATCCCAGTACTCAGGAGGCAGGTGGAAGCAGGGGAGAGGATCACAAGTTCAAGGTCAGACCCAGACAGAGTTGAAGCCACCCTTAGTTACCTGAACGAGAAGGAAAAGAAGGAAGGAGGAAGAAGCCTTGTGAGCTGATGTAAAGACTGGTTAGGGCTAAGA